GGGGGGGGCTGTTAACGGCTCTGCTGAGCGCGGCGGTGTTACGTGTGCGACACGACAGCTCCGCTGTCCGCCTTCCCCGGCGCCAGGGAAGCCGCCGCTGCCGGGTCCGGGCCGTGGGAAGGGCTTGGAGAACGTGCAGAGGGGCCCGGGGGTGACTCGTGGGGATAGGAGTGACCTAGGGCAGGAGGGACGACAAGGCAAAGGGGGCGAGAGCGGCCCTGTGGGTGGTGGGGTGCTGTGGGAATAAATACGTGAGGAAACAGGCACTGGRGTGAGAGAGATCGGTAGAAATCTGCTGGATTTGAAGCAAAACAGAYTTCACTGAAGGTCTGAGAAAGCTTCCAAGGAAGAACCTTATCTGTGCAGAGTGGTGCGGTGTCTYCTTCACTGGAGCTTCAGAGAAAAAGAATCTGCCAGGAATGGTGTGGATGTTCAGGATCTTGTTCGAGTTTAGGGCTTGGAAGGAGTCTGCTCGGGTCCTTTTCCTTTCTGTTCCTTTGCTTAGTCACACAAARCTCTGCCTGGGGCTCTCCAACTTTCCCAGCCTTTTGATCTGGGCATGAAAGTCCTGGTGTGACGCCAGCTTTAGGTCAGGCGCCTCCRCAGAGCAGGAGCACGAGGGAGCGCGGGGAGCGACTCGCGGCGTCCCAGGGGGTTCCCTGTGCGGCCGAGGCGGAATGTGGACGCTCCAGGAGGGGCTGGCGAGGCTGATGGCAGCCTCTGCTCCCAGCTTCATGTCCGCCACGTTCGGGGTTTTGTCCCCTGTGAGCCCAGTGACAGTGTGGCCAGGGGCTGCTCACATAACAGGGTCGGTCCTGGGTGCCCTGGGTGCTCCCCTGGGCAGCTTTGCTTTGGTTTTCACTCTGGTAGCCTTGCCCAGAGTTGCTGGATTCTGGATATTTTGTGTGTGGGAGACTSGACTTAGGCAGCCCAAAGGGACATTGATCAAAAAGCTGCAGGAGCTTCTGTGAAAACCATAGTGAAGACAATGCMTTTAAGTTTACTGCGTTTAGTTGCATCTGTGTGGAGAGAAGAGACTGCTAAACTTGGCAACTGAAACCATTGCAAATTGTACAGAACTCAGGAATCCCCACCTGAAACTTTCTTGATTCATGGCGTGGCTTCTCCCACTGGCAATGAGCAGTGCCGAGTTCCTTTTTTCCCTTTTTCTCTCCTCTGGCGGTTCCTGCTGCTGCTTCTCAATGCTCTGTGTGTTCCGTGCCCGTAGCGCTCTGCCGAAATGGCTGATGATAACGAGGAGCTGCAGGCAGATGAAGAGGTGCCGGCTGCCGCCGAGGACAACTTTGAGCAGCTGGAGAACGACAGCCCCGCGGAGCGCAGCGGGCACGTGGCCGTCACCGACGGGCGCTGTATGTATGTCTGGGGAGGCTACAAGGTACGTTCGTCCCTGCCAAGGAGCCTCCCCACCGTGCTGGGAGTGTGTCTGTAGCTGGAGAGTGGCGCTCTGAAACAATCCCTGCCCGAAAAGATAACAGAATATTCCAGTTAATGAATTAGAATGGGATCTTTGAGGCTTTTGAAATCATGAAATAAGTGTGACCCTTAAATGCAGATCTTGGCAAACGGATAACTTTGGGGGATGCAGGTGTTTGCCTTTCTCACTGATGTTTCTGTTAGACAAGAAGGAAATGCTCGTGATTTGAAATGTGGCCTCTGCAAAGTTGTGCTCTATTTGAGCGGTGTCAGCACAAGTGTATTTTGTATGTTAATGATCATGGGTTGGGTGTTTGTCATGCTGGGGCATGTATACGCTCCAGGCAGAACCAAGCCATTTAAACAAATTAACAAGAACAAAGCTGAGCTTATTTTTATTTGATGGTGACCTCAGGAGATAAGTTGGTAGCTCACAATAAAACTTTAGCATATTGTTCTGCTAGTGTCATGTGGGGGGGAACTGCAAATAAAACTGTGGCTTGTATATTTACCCTGGTTATTCTGTTTGGAGTATGAGAGGAAGGCTTAGCTCCCTTTCGTAGGTGCTGGTGTCTGGCTCTGTTGGGAGCTTGTCTGGTCTCCAGCAGAGGCTGGAAGAGGCTGATTCCTGCTCTCCAGGGACTGCTCTGCTGGGGAGAGGTACAGGAGCGCAGCAGGCAGCAGCTCCTGCCCTGTTCTCTCTTCCACAGTCAGATCTCTGAGGGGATGTGAATGTTCAGGGGAGTCTGCTGTCCAATATGCCAGGCGTCCTCCTAATGCTGCCTTTTCTGTGCTCTTCTGCAGAACGCCCAAGTTAGGGGATTTTATGACTTCTATCTGCCCAGAGATGAAATATGGATCTACAACATGGAAACTGGGAGATGGTACAGTAAATAAGTAATTTACTCATTTTCATTTTAGGGAAGAATAGTGAAGAAGGAGAGACAGTTTAGGCAGGGAGTCCCTATGGGAATCACAGAAATTGTTGATCACCAATATGAAGTGTTTTGGGCTGCCTGGTACAGGCTATAGTTTCTGTAAGGGGTGTTTGTACCACTTGTGATTACAGTGGWACATGAATGAGAGAATCAGCATTGAGCTTTTTATTTATTACCCTTTTAAGGGGTTTTTAAATGTGTATGCAGTGGAGGAAGCTTCCACGGTCTCTTAGGCTGCAAGGAGCCTGGGGGTTGTGTGAAACCTGTGTTTCAAGGAAAGGGAGGAAGGGAAAAGGAAGGGGAGGGAAGGGAGCCAGTGCTGGAGCTCCGCAGACAGCGAGCGCCTTGCGAGGCGAAGCCGGCGCCGCTCGGCTCCTGCACGGGCAGCTTCAGCGCTGCTTGCAGGTGTCGCTGCCGCTGAGCAGGGCCTTGAACGTGGCATGGAAACTCCCATTTGTGGTCACAGTATTTACAAAGCATTGGAATAGGCAGCAAAGTAAAACCCTGCAGCTCACACAGATGTGTCTTCTTTGCCTGAGGATCTTTCTGGAATTTTCARGAATGCAAAATGCATATCAGACTGCTGAACAGGGCAGGCAGGATTCCTCCTCCATTAAAAGTGTTTTACTTAAATTACCTGTTCTCTACCTCTCTCTGAAATATGTCTTTACTGTTTTAAATTGTTGCATCTACAAAAGTATGAAAAACTTGACTGAGTAGTCCACAAAGACTAGACTTAGTTAAAGACATAGAGGTAATCTTAAAAACTTCCACCCTAGACAAAATCACTCTTCATTTTTATCAGATAAACGATTTTTAACTGTGCTTCTAGGAAGAAAAGTAAAACAGAGGGAGATGTGCCCCCGTCCATGTCTGGAAGCTGCGCTGTGTGTGTGGACAGAGTGGTGTACCTGTTTGGAGGACATCACGCACGTGGCAATACAAACAAGGTCAGTAACACAAGGCCAAATCTGCCTTCACAAGTAAGTTTCTCTTTGCAAGCTTTTGATTCAGTTTCCAAAACACAGAGGTTGATTTTTCAGTTCATTAAAATCCATCCAAAGCAAATGCATCATCTTAACAAATCACACAAGTGTTTTCCTCTCAATGGCAGGACAGGCTGGATGTCATTTCAGGGCTTACATGTCAATAATGCGGGATGCTGAACATGTATCCAGCTGCTGTGTCCTCTATAGCTTGTGCAATGTAATACTTCTACTTAGAGGCTGTATCTGTATTTCTTGAAAGCAGATAACCAGCTTTATCATCCTCTCAGCAGCCTCCCCAAATTTGAACTAATTGAAGCCATGTCCTTTTTGTGCTTGCCAAAAAGGTTTTCACTGACACAATGCAATGTTCAGCCCTTGCGTTGTTTTCACACRGGTGATCAGCTGGCAAACTTTGCCTATTCAGTGTGTTAGTTTCTTGCGGCAAGTYAGATCATGTGAAGTTTGGAGAATGTGCAAACCTTCAGCTCTGCATCATTTCATGTGGTGATTGTTCCCTGGTAGCTCTTTACCACTGAAAAAGCACCACGGCCTGTGATTTGCTCTGGCTACCGCTGATTAGAGCAGTTCACCCTGTACGTTGTAGTGCTTTGGAGATTGGAGTTTACATTTTCTGAAAGCTGGAAGTTCCTGGTGTCCACGGAGATAACCAGGAGATGATTTGTAACAGCTCTGTGGTTGTTTGAAACACTACTCTTTTGGTTTTTGGGGGAGTRTTTTACCATATTCTGAAATTGTGATTTAAATTGAATAGTTTGGACCTCACTTTTAAATATAAGCTGAAAGCCACCTGGGGCAATGATTGCAAGCAGTCTAAAGCAAACTGATTTTATAAAGTGTGACTTGCTTCCTACTGCTGCATTTCAGTTACTTTATATATCCGTACCAGCAATTGCTCTCAATGTATAATGATGTAATGTGCTAAGAAGCTGATACCATAAAAAAAAAAAAGTCTTGAACTAGATTTGTTTATTGTAAGACAATTGCTGCTTTGTACTCATCTTCATTTTATCCCATTTCTGATTCCAGATGGTAAAAATCAGTATCCATAGTTCTCTTGCTTTGGCAAAAGAGTATTTGGGGTTGGAGTCTGCAAAATAAGGACTTTTGGCTCCATATTTTGTACAAAATATAACCAGCGTTCACGTAGTTAGGAAAAATGCTTTTAAATTACTTCTGTTCCAATACATGCTAGTTAAAAGTTAACACATTAACATCAATCAGACTTAAGCTTTAAGCTAACTCTGTGGGTAAAAGAAATCTTTTTATTTTCTACAGTTCTACATGTTAAATTCCAGATCCACGGACAAAGTGCTGCAGTGGGTCAGAGTAGAATGTCAGGGGGTCCCCCCTTCATCAAAGGACAAACTTGGCGTGTGGGTTTACAAAAACAAGTAAGGCTCCAGCAACGAAGTCACTAGAGCTCTCCTTACGCGCGCCTTTAATCGCTCTTGGTCTTGTCGCTGTCGTGTCTTTTTGTTTGAGCAAAAACTGCCAGAGGACTCTTCGCCCGCAGCACGTACGTGCTTCAGGAAAATGCTAGGCTTGTTGCCCAGCCAGCCCTTCGAAGYGGTTCAGACCCTTAACCTTTGATAAATGAGAAAACCTCACTCCTAATCGGAGTACGTATGCGCTGCAAAATATCCATGTGAGTCACAGTCCAAAATAGAGACTCATCAAAGGCAAATTCTCTACATTCTCAGGGCATTACTTTAAAGGTACTGCATCCCAGTTGCTTATATCAACATCATTCCTCTTAGCAATTGCATCTGGAGTTGATCTTCACATACAGCTATCCTCAAATTCTGGGTACCATGCAAAAGGCAGTGTTTTTGTCACACCTGGTGGGACAGCTTGTCTTTCTTTGACTGGTCAGGAATGGGAAACCGTTTTAATCTAARGCTGTGCGTGGCTCTTCCACACGATGAGCTCAGGGTGTTTGTGCCAGTTACGCAAAGCAAGGAATGTGTTAGCTGAACTCTTGTTGATGTTACCCAATTTAATGYGTTGGGACAGCGTCCAAGAGGTGCCAAGAGGCCGCCTGGCATTTCAAGCCTTGGAAAAGATGATGAGGAGGAAGATAAGGTGGGCGAGCTGGTGGGCAGAACGCTGCTGCCTCCTTGCCCCTTTGTTGAGCTGGGGCAGCGCCAGCTCCCAGAGGGAATTTCTCAAGCAGAGCTTGCCCTGCCCAGCACAGRCATCGGCTGCCTGTTGCTACAGCGGGTCTCGGTTGTGTCGAATTGGGCTCCCCCGAGGCAGAGGCAGTCGGGGTGCTGGCAGCTGCTGCCTGGCCCATACAGGGTGATTCCGATGTGTGAGGCACCTGTGCTGCCTCGTGCATTGCATGTTGTGCAGCACTCACCATACAGACCCCGRGAGGCTGGAAAGCGCCTGTGTTGCAGCCTCGCAGCAAGAAGGGTTCCTGTTTCCATCCGTGCAGTGTGGGGGGTTCTGTAGCCTTGTCAAGGCTGAGGGTTTTTTTGTTCCTTTTTTTCCCTTGAGAATCATTTTAGACGTAAATCTGTTGGGTTGGAGCTGTGGGCTTGTGCTTGGTTAGGCAGTGCAGACAGTTTCCTGGTATCTTATAATTTAATAAAACTTTCTGGCAAAACCATGCCATTCGTTGCTAATAAGCACTGAACTGCAAACATTAAATGTAAATTACATTTTAAAAGAGCAGCAAAATCACGTAAGTGACTGATTGCTCACAACAACAGAGCAATCGCCTGAGTGACTGATTGCTCTGAAACAAAACACAAGCGCAAAGAAGAAAACTCTTTCCTAGGCAGAGAAACCAAACGGGAGCCTTCGCGGGCCGCGCTGCTGGTCAGGGCTGCTGCCCACGGTGCCCTGGGCTTGGTCCCKCACGGGCAGAGCTCCCCTTCCTCAGAGCCTGCCCTCCCCCGTGTCCCTTTCACGTGCCCCCCGTGTGCTTTTCCTCTGCGTTTCATGGCAATAAACCCAGGTTTTGGACTCGGGGGGGGAGGGAAAACATGCGAAGGGCTCGGAAAGGGCAGCAGGGGGAAACAGCAGCGGCTGCTGGGTGGGAGCCCCGCGGCRGCGCCTGAGCGCGGTGCCCAAGCGGCAGCTCCCGGAGCCCGCGGCGGGAGCAGAGCTTTGGAGCCCGAGGCCTGGGGAGGCGCTCCGGGGGTGCAGGGCAGCTCACGGGGTGCCYGGGGCCGGCAGCGTAGCCTGTCAGAAGCAGTGGAGCCAAAGGGGCTTCCCTTGTTTTCCTGGCTTGTGTCTCATACAGCCTTTACATAGCTTTAGTGTGTAGCAGTGAATGTGGTTGCAATGAATGTGGTCGCATTTCTGATAATCTCAATGCCCTTCTGTTTCAGGCTAATATTTTTTGGAGGCTATGGTTATTTTCCTGAAGGGAAACAACGAGGAACTTTTGAGTTTGATGAAACCTCTTTTTGGGTAAGCAATCGTTTCCCACTTTGAAATGATTTCTGTTTAAACTTCAAATCTAATATTCAATTAATGATTATTATACCTTGTTTCTTGTTGGATTTTAAAGAACTCAGGTCTTCCTAGAGGTTGGAACGATCACGTACATGTTCTGGACACTGAAACCTTTACTTGGAGCCAGCCTATAACCACGGTAATGACTGTTCTCATGTCGGTTATTCTGTGTTGGAGCTCCTCAGAGACGTGCGCGTTGTCTGTCCTGCCTCTTGTCACCACCTGTGAGAATGAGCGCGATGCTTCTGGCCCGTAGCTGCTCCGTGTGCCCGGGCCGTGGGCAGCTCCGAGCCTGCCCGTCCGCAGCCTCTCTTCCTGCCATTCTTCTAGCAGAGATGGCGATGGAGCACGAGGCACGTATCTACRCCCAGAATAGTTTTTTTCTGTTTTCCTGCTCTACCCTGCAGCCTTGTTGACATGTTGACCGTCTCGAGCTGCTGTGTGAGCAGCTCTCGGGTGCCCCTTGATCCCTTCTTCAGGATATAAACTAGCTCCTAATATCCGGAGCTACAGAATTCCAGGGCTAACTAAACTCTGGAACTCTGACTGAACTAAACCTGCCCCCCAGGTCYTGTCTACTTGCTGAAAGTGGGAAACCAGCCTTTTGTCCTACTTGGTCTTCTCATCACGTCCCTTTTCGCCTATGGACCTGCTTTCCCCCATGGTTTTGCTCTCCTGGGGAGCTTGCGGCAGTGCAGCCCGGGTCCCCGCCGGCCTCGCTGCCGCGCGACGCTCCGGCCTGTTGCGCTCGGTATGGGGCTGATGGAAACAGCCCCGATGAGTCTGTTGTAATTGCAAGCAGAGGCCGTTGAAACGTCCCTGAGTGCTGAGATACGGCTGGAATTACAGCCACGGACATGGGGGAACTGAAATCTGAGATAAAGTGGCCATTCAGATCATTGAAAAATTCTGTTGTCCTAATACACGCAGGACTGAAAAATACCTTGGAAGCAGTTCTAGGAAAGATATTGCTTAATGGTTCATTACCTCATTGTCTCGATTTCAGTCTGAGGTTTTCCGTGTCTACCTGAGCCTYTTTTAAAAGCAGGGTTTATAGCTTGCCACTGAAAGGGCAGGGGGCGAGTCCTTCCTCAGTCAATTTTCTGATCTCCTGTTCACCAAGGACAGCAGCTTTCCATCCGCAGTGTGACTGGCTGCATGTTTTCCCACCCCTGCCCATTAGCAGCCTGATAAGCCTCCCTGTAGCTCAGCTTCTCCTCGGCCTCGTTGCAGATCCGCAGCGCTGGCCCTGGGTGCTCAGCCCTGCTCCCCTCCTCTGCAGGTCTCCCTTCCTGCTGCTGCTTTATCACATGAGCTCCCCTTCTTACCTCCCGTTTTCTTTTCCAGGGTAAAACTCCATCGCCGCGAGCGGCTCATGCCTGTGCTACAGTTGGGAACAGAGGCTACGTATTCGGTGGCAGATACAGAGTAAGACCCCGACCCAGTTTAGCAGTGGGGTCCTGAACCCGAGCAGAGTGTTTGAACCATCATCTGCTTTATTGTAGGAGTCCAGAATGAATGATCTTTACTACCTAAATCTGGATACGTGGGAGTGGAATGAAATGTAGGTACTAAAGCTTGAGCTCTTTGGGGTTTATAGCAGCGTGTAACTGCACAGGAAGGGGATTTTTGGGGATGGGTTTTTTTTTGGCGGGAGGTTGTTATTTCTAATCACATTAATAAAGACTTAATGAAGTCTAAGTGATCAAGCAGAACTGATCCTCCCAGCCCTGTTGCTGTCGGGAATTGCTGGCACCGCTASGAGCAGCCTGGCCGCGCGGGGCGGTTGGTGTCTCAGTGAGCTGCCTTTTGGCAGCCTGAACAAACTAACTGTGCTGGGGCCAGAGGCTGCGCGGAGCGGCTGCGGCGGGCGACTCAAATACCCGAAAAATGACCAGAGCAGGAAGAAACAGCGACGCTGTCCTGCAGCGTTACCAGTAACTTGTGCTGCTCTTCCTCACAACAGCATCACGCAAGGCCTGTGCCCCGTAGGGCGATCCTGGCATTCCCTAACACCGATTTCCTCGGATCATCTCTTCCTCTTTGGGGGATTCACCACGGACAAGCAGCCCCTCAGTAAGTCATTCCCAAGGGTCTCGTGCTGYGTTTTGTCCGAGCACAGGCCGCAGCAGCCCGGGTTGCTGGGGAATCAGCCGGGATTCTTGCTGGATTCTGTCTGTGCCCTCGTGTCACTGACCTCCCCTGGCCGGCAGCTAAACTGTCACCGCGGAGTCCCTGATACCACTAGCTACAGAAATGCAGGTGCTCTAGGGTGCCCCTTGGGCAGGCTGCGCGCGGGCAGGGCCCTCTCTGCCCCCGTTTCCCCCTCCCTTTGTTCCTGCAARGCCTCTCTTCACAGAAGCAGCGCTGCAGGGTTTGCCCTGAGAAGCTTGGTTGATTTAGTAGCAGTAATATCAGAGTATGTCGTTATTCCAACCAATACGAAAGAGCTGATGGAATACTGTTTGTGCTGGGGATTTTGTGGGGTGTTTTTTTAGGTGACGCTTGGATTTATTGTATCAGCAAGAAYGAATGGATACAGTTTGAGCACAACTACTCTGAAAAGCCAAGGTAAGCTGTTTGCTTCCCGGGAAACACAGAAATCGAGCAAGGGAACCTTTCCTGCTGGCACGACAGGGACACAGCACAATCCTCTTCACAGCACTGACCAACACAGTGCCTTCACTGAGCAGCTTCTGCCCAGGCAGTGGTGCTGTTTTGAGCATAAGCACAGCAGCGAGATTAACGCCGCGCGTGACCGGTGCTGGAGAGAGGCTTTAACTTAATCCTTTGTTTGCAAAACAGCAGGAACCGCAGATGGGGCTTTCGGCTCTATCCCCGGCTGCAGCGCCCGGTGCTCCAAGCTCTGCGTGTGGCGTCGGGCAGGGCAGGGCAGCTGGGGCACTCAGTGCCTGTGACGGAGGGGATGGCCCCGCATTTTGCACGGTCATTTTGCAGGGCRCGTTTTGCACAGCGCATTCTGCACAGCGCGTTGCTGCTCCTGCTGTGTCGGCCCCTCGGGGAGCTGGAGGGAAGGAAGGGGCCGCGGTGCCAGCGCGTGGGGCCGGGGCTGCTGCCYGGGAACCTTCCTTCTCTCCCCGGCAGCTCTTCGGGATGAGCCAGCGCCGGGCAGACTGCACCTTAACTTCCCAGCGAGTCCCCAAGCTGCGTTTGGGGCTGGAGGTCTTTGTGCTCGGTTGTGTCAACGTCTTGCGTTTGCAGGTTGTGGCACACRGCCTGTGCCAGCGAAGAGGGAGAGGTGATCGTGTTCGGGGGCTGTGCCAACAACTTGCTCGCCCATTCCAAAGCGGTGAGTTCACGTGGAGCTTTCCCTGCGCGTGCAGCGCAGCCTTGCCGCGGGGGCCAGGGATGCGCGCGGGCGCTGGGCTGCTCGAGGGAGCGCTGGGAGGCGGCACAAGCTGCGCTCCGAGGGGGAGCGTGCGGCCGCCTCGCTAGGAGCCGGGTCCTCGGTCACCGCTCCGCGCTCCAGCCCTCGTCTCCCCCAGCCCCRCCGCGGAGCCCGGGGGTGACGGCAGCCGCSTAACCCCCTGCCCCTCTCCTTCTCSCCCGCAGGCTCACAGCAACGAGATACTGGTGTTTTCTCTGCAACCACGATCCCTTGTAAGGTAAGAAAGAAATCTGTAACCTGGCTGCGTGTAGGTGACTAGCACAGGGCCAAGGGCAGAGCTGCTCTCTGTTCCTGGGACACTGCGGAGCATTTTTGTTCCTTCAAAGAAAGCTCGAAGAAGCTATTTCCTTTCCTGGKAGAGGGAACAGCACCAGCCAGTTAGAAGAGCCACTGGCAAGATTCCTTTCCTAAAGCACCCACTTGGTACYGATGAGGATGAGGCCAGCTCCGAACTAATTAGCTTTAAATAATTGGCTTATCTCTCGTCCCCCCTYCTGCTCTCCCTGCCCAGGCTGTGCCTCGAGGCCGTCATCTGCTTCAAGGAGATGCTGGCCAGCTCCTGGAACTGCCTCCCCAAGCACTTGCTGCACAGCGTCAACCAGCGCTTCGGCAGCAACAACACCTCGGGCTCCTGAGCGCGCGCGGCCCCGCCACGCTGCAAGATGTAATAATTTTACCACGTGTGGCAAACATTAAACTTGTATAGATTAACTAGTGTTAGCAGCGTAGGTAGTTGCTTCCTGCCTTTTAAGTTGCATGTGAATGGCCTAGAGAGAACCTATTTTTGTGTAAAGATGTTTGCAATAAATGTATTTAAGGCGAGTGCAGCTGGAGCCTCCTGCTTGAGCTAGAACTGGCTCTGGGTTTGTCTAACTTGAAGGACATGCGAGGGGCAGCCCCAGGCCCGGAGAGAGGCAGCACGGGTGTGGGACGGCCGCGCTGCAGGGGCCCAGGCCCGGCCAGGAGCAAAGCTGGGGCTGCGGGGGCCGGCCACGGCGCGCACAGAGCGGCKGCGCGACAGGTCCTGGCAGCGCTGGTGATGGTCAGGGAAACAGCTCTACAGAACCCTGTGTAATCAGAGTAGCTCAACTGTCCMAACCTTCAGGTGTTGAAGCGTCGCTGCGGCTTGGTTCTAGTTTGTCTTTCATGTTGTGGAACTTGAATTGTGACCCTTGGGGAGCAGCAAGGCTGCCCTGGCCAGGGCAGGAGCTCGAGCGGCTGCCTGAGCTCCCTGCAGCCCCAGGCCCGATCCCAGGCCTGGTCTAGGGAAGCAGCTCTGCGGGGTCGGCGCCTGCCTGGGGGACTCGGCTGCAGCGCCATAGCTGCGGTTGCTGTGGGAGGGGGGGGTTAAATCACATGTAAAATGTCCTGAAACTTCAATAAAAACGTTGACTTGTACAAAATGCCTCCAGGCTCCTAATTCCTGCACCAGTTCCTTTTTTATGTTTGGGCTACAACTGGAGCCAGTGCTCAGGGTCCTGCAAGCCCCTGTGAGAGCAAAGAGGCCCCTCAGCTCCCTGCGTGCAGGAATCCCTGGCACAGCAGGCGGAGCCGCCCTCGGCCTCTTCTCTCCTGCCTCCCTCCTCTTCCAGGGGGGCAGGAGTCACAGAGCAGCCTTCGGCCTCACCTGCACCATCCTCCCCAAATAAAGGGCAGAGCGTTTAGCTAACAGCAAGGGCCCGTTTGCCCCAAATAAGCAGAAACGCTGGTGCCTTTGCTGCAGCAAGGCGCTCAGCACAACCTGCCCAGCGCGCAGGGAACGCGGCCTTGGCCCCCCCCAACTCGAAGCATGAAAGAAAGAGCAGCTTGCGATGATGTCGCCGGCCCAAGGGCAGTAATTTACTTGCAGGTTTTCATGCCACGTGGAGCAGGTAGAGCTGTTGAGTCCATGAACGCAGCAGGCCGGAGCTGCTCCTCCTGTGCCCGCTCCGCGGGGCGTCGCTGCGTCCGTCCCGGGGGGCCCTTGGCCACAGCTGGATCTCAGGGCAGGAGCAGTGGTGAGTGGGAACAGGAACCACGAGCAGCGACGGCTTCACTTCTTTTTCCTGTTCAGGAGATTCGGCGCCGACACCTTCACTTTGCCAGGAATATTTCTTGACAAGTCGGTATCCTGCAAAACAGGAAAAGGTGAGAAATGGCAGGTAATGGGAACATGTAAAAACATCCTGTCCTGCTCCTGCTTCCAATGTGCCCAACAGTGCTTCCTGCTCGGAGCGGGTCTGCCCAGTCCCTGCACAGCACCCCAGGCTGCGGCAGGGGCAGCTCCCACACACTGGGGCCGTGGGACGGGCGGCTCCGCCAGTCACAGGGCAGGACCCGCTCCCTGGCACCCGTTAACCAGGGAGCGGGTGTTTGGGAGGGAGTCTGCGGCGCTGGGTGCCCCCTGGGCAGCTCCAACCGGGCTGCTCTGGATCGGACCTGGATGCCCCATCTGCCTGGGCCAAACCCTGATCTCCCTGGGCCCTGGGCTTTCCCTGGCCTAGGAATTGAGCCGTGGGAATTTCCCTCCCTCGAGGCCTTTCCCTTCGTCAAACCTGTTGTTTGCATCGGCAAAGACCTGGCCAGAAACCCAATGCCCAACGACACCAGCGGGGCTGAGCCAGCATGACCGGCCCAAGCAGAGCAGCTGCCYGAGGGACACCGCACACGGCAGGGGACCGGGCCAGAGCACCAGGCGTTGGGGACATATTCACCCCCCAGAGCAGGGGCAGCTGTGAACTGCCTTTCTGCTGCAGCACAGGGTTTTTTTCTCCCCCCACAAGAGAAAGTCACCTTCACACTGCGAAACAGATCTTTTTCTCTTGCAGTAGCTTCTTTAGATTGCATAAAATTATGCAAGGCAATCTTTGCAGCTGCAGAAACAGAGACAGAAGAATTAACCAGTGTCTAAAAGGGCGCCCGCTCCAGCAGGCAGAGCACAGGGAAGGATTCGGGTGTCCAGCACGGTACCTTTGCCCTTCTTCTGGGTGCCTGGAGTGAGCTTCACTTTGTACCTTGCAAAAGAGCAGGTCGCTGTGAGTCRTGGGGCAGGTTCCCGCCTGGGCCAACCCTCTCCCCGCAGCGCTGGGACTCACTTGTAGTTRGTCATGGCCGAGTAGGGGGCACAGATGGGCACGGCGAAGAGCAGCAGGTCCTCGGGGTGCGGCTGCCCCGTGAGGGCGCCCAGCAGGGCCTGGCCGTCCTGCGCAGCGCRGCGGGATGAGCCCCACGGCCCCCAGCGCCGTCCCCTGCTCCCCGCCGCCACCCACCCCCAGGGCTGCCTCCTGACCCGCCAACAGCTCCGAACACGGAGGTCGCATCGCTCAAATGGGATGGATCGGAGCTGCAGCTGAACGAGAAGCGACCTCCAAACACAGCGGAATCTTTGCAGGGGGACCAAAGCCCCCCCACCGCTGCAGACAGCCCCTTACCTCCTTCATTAAAGGAGTTAAAGAAATGAACTAGTTTTCAGCTTTGGAGTACACCCACAGTCTGCAATTATGCAAAATAGATCGAGCAATTTTGTAAGCGAATAAATTTCTAAATCCAAAAAAAACTCTCATCTTGCTTCACACTCCTCCAGGCCAGGGTCACCACTGCTGCAGGATACAAAGGCCTTGCCAGGCAAAGACAAASGACAAGCTTCCATGCAGCCACCCCCTGGCTGCTATAGGGGAGATGTGTGTTAAGCAGGGGATGAGAAAAATCAAAAGTTTCATTTTTTTTCAAAGAGCGACAAACCTGGGCTGACCAGTAGGTAGCAGTATGTGTGACGTGGGACAGCGATGTTGTGCTCAACACAGAACCTCAGAATGGCTGAGGTTGGAAGGGACCTCTAGAGATCCCCCAGCGCAGCCCCTGCTCCMGYAGGGACACCCAGAGCACGGGGCACCCGGGCGCATCCCGGCGCCTTGGGAAGATCTGCAGAGCAGGAGCCTCCGCAGCCTCCCTGGGCAGCCTGGGCCAGGGCTCGGGCACCCTCACACCAAACAAGTTCTTCCTCACGGCCACACGGAGCTGCCTGGGCTTCACCTTGTCCCCACTGCCCCTTGTCCTGTCAAACACAGCCAGCTCGGGGCCATCCCCACACTGAGAGCCAGGCTGGAGCCTTGGGTCCTGTCCCCATGGGCTGCGCTCAGGGACATCGAGCGGGGACACAGCCCTTCCCTCAGCACCTCCCCAGCGTCGAGGACGGGCATTTACCTCAGCCCCCAGCTGCTCCTGGTCTTGCTCCTCCTGCACACACAAAGAAAGGAGACTCAGGGAGGAAATGAGCACCCGGTGCTTCTGACCCCCTAGAGAAGCCGGACTTGTTCCTGTGGTCCCCGGGAAGCCACACGGGCTGCAGAAACGTCACCCGTTTCACGGTGGAAGCCTCTGGCTGGGCGCACAGCGATCTGGGAGGAGGRCCTGGCTCCTCGCCCCTGCGCGGGCAGCGCTCGGGGCTCCCCAGGTCTGCTGCCAGGGTGAGGGGCAGCCCCCCGGGGTCCCCGCTCCGACACTGCCCRGTGCCTCTCCAGACCCATGGGCCCCCGTGTCCCGGCACAGGGCCCATCGCTCTGCCCAGAGCCCCAAAGCAGCCGCCGCTGCTGGGCCTGGCTGGGCGCAGAGCCCGCGGGCGGCGGGGAAGGGCGGCCGCAGGGAGCGCGGCGGCCGCGCTGACCTTCTCGTCCTGCTGCTCCTCCAGGGCTGGGTCGGGCGCCTCAAGCAGCGGGACGGCGGCTGGCGGCTCCTTGCCCGCCGCCGCGCCGCGCTGCGCCGCCCGGGGCCTCTGCTGCGCCTTCTTGGCTGGCTCTTCCTTGGTCTTCCCCTTTTTCCCTTTCTTGCCTTTCTCCTCCTTGCTCGACCCTGCGGACTGCAGCCAGGCAGCGGGATGGTCAGAACCAGCTGCCCGGATGGCCACAGCTTGGGGAAGACCCAACCCCTGGCACTCACCCCCAGCAGCTTCATGATGAGCTCCCGGTCCTCCTCATCCTGGTCCTTGTACTTCTCCTTCATCTTCTTCATTTTACTCTGAGGAGAAAACATACCAACAGCTTTAGAAACAGGGACCTCTGAAGAGACTTGCACTCATGAGCACCTAAACGCTGTCCCCACATGCACAGATTCCAGGGCTGCTGCAGCTCTTTCTGAACAGCTCGCACCAACCTAGGGATTATTTTTCAGACAGGGAAGCACAGGGTGCTCGATGCTGACAGAACAGCACCTTGAAACCACCAGCAGTGGTTTCTGGTTTTATATCTGATATAAAATATCTGATTTTAATCTAACGCTCCAGGCAGCTGTGAGTGAGTGACCACAAGCTGGAACTACTGCCTGCCTGGGAGAACGGGAGCCCATATTCCACAGGGAAGCAGCTCCAGGGGAAGCCTGATCCCTGCCTACCTTCTGGCCCCGCTTGATGGGCGGCGGGGCTGGCAGCCCCTTGGTGCTGTTGGGCGCAGCGGGATGCTGCATCTCCGTCTCTTTCTGCTTCTCCTCAGGTGGCTCCAGGTTCTCAGGGTCATTCTGCTGCTTCTTCTTCTTCATTTCTCTATGGAAAACAAATGACCAGTCAGCACAACCCCTCCTGCTGTGGCTGCCCCTCTTTTGCCAGCATCAACCCTCTGCATTTGCCCCCGCTGAAACAGAGAAGCCCTCACCTCCTCTCCTTGGCAGAGAGATGCCTTCGCCCCTGCACCTTGTTGTCACTCTGAAAAGCAACACGTGGTTAAAGAGCAGCAGGTCCTGGCAGCTCACACTGCTCTGCCAAACATCTGAGCGGGGCCTTACCAAGCTGGGGCCTTCCTCCTTGGGGACAGTTTTCTGCAGGGATCTGTTGGGAGATGGAAATAGAGCCTGGCAGCTCAGGACAGCACTTCCAACAGCAGGGGATGCTCAGCAGGGCCCAGGCTGCTGAGGAACCCAGCTGCTCCTTCACTTGCCT